ACTGGGTGTGTCAACTACCAACAGTCTTCAGCTGCTGAAACGGCTTTACCTTCCCCAGTTCTCCCGTCAGTGCTAACACAGTTGGCAGATGTTCAGATGATTAGCACTCATGTGTCCCATTGCCACTGCATCTCTGAAGGGACTCGGTTGTCCCAGACAAAGTGGAGAAGCTTGGCCTAAGGGATGCTTTCTTCTGGGAGCCAGCAGCAGGCCACGCTCCTGGCTTCAGCCGTTGTAGGTTTGTAATCTTAACAGAAGCAGGGGGGATCTACACCCAAATTTTTGACAAAGATTAGGCATATTTAAAATGCAGCTTTTTCTTCCTGGTTTTGTAGCTGTGCTAGAAAGTCATTAGACATGGATTTATTTTTCCTTATCTCTTGGATTATCATGGGCTTCCTTCCTTCCTTCCTGGATGAATTTATCCAGCGTTCTGATTACAGCTCATTTTTTTATCACTTCCTATCTTTGGGGCTTAAGATTTTGTATGTTTAACATAATTGAGCTGAGTATTTTGCAGCAATTGACAGTGAAGATAATTTTCCACCAATTGATGGGTTGGTTACAGTGAATCTTTTTGCAGTCTACTGACTTTGGCTATTTGCTGTTTTGGTTAGAGATCTGCTTTATTTTATTTGTCCTTGTATTTTGTTTCTTTTTTTTTTGTCCTTGTATTTTATTTTATTTTATTTCTGCAACTGAGCCATGTATTATCTGACTTTGGAGAGGGGAAACAGAGACATTTCAGGTTTTAAGAAACTTCCACAGAGATTCAGACAGCTGGTCAAAAATAAATCCAGTATGCAAACAGGGTCATGAATATTGTAGAAAACAGCCGTTTAAAATACCAGGGCATCAAATATCTCTTTAGTTTCTTTCTTCAGACTGGACTTGGAATTTGATTGTAGGGTATTGGTTATTTCTGTGCTCATGTAACAATTGCACAGGGAATAGGGAATAAACAGAAAATAAAATATTTTAGATAGGTGTTTAAGGGAAAGTGGTATTACATTATTTTAAAACAAAAAAAAAAATCCGTAAGTTCCATGAGACTGTGATGACTATGTTCTACAGGTGCTGATCGTTAGAACTAGGAGGTCATCATCTTTCCAGAGCTAAACTGCTTTCTTCTGTGTGCATGGGAGAGAGGTGTGAGTTTGGTATACCTAGGATGTGGTAGTTAAACTAGGAGGAATTTTTTTAAGGCTTTCTATGAACTAGGAGAAATTAACATTTTTACTGAAACATCTTTAATTTTGTTATTAAGGGCGGTTGTATTTTAGTGTGTGTTAGCTGACTGACCTTTACACTGCACAAGTTTTAAAGCATTTTATATTGAAAATGCATCTGCCTAAAGACTTATCCCAAAGCCTGAATCCCATATGAGTCACATAGTGCTATTTTGTTTTGGTCTGTGTATAGATATTCTTCCTTAAAAATAGAAGAATTTTCCCCTAATCATTATTGATATAGGACATTTTTTATTATAAAATAGGTATCAACACATCTTTACGTCAGAATGATGGTGACGTGTGATATAGAACAGTTTGGGTTTTTTCAGTGCAAGTATCTACATACACCAGCTGCTATAGCAAGTTAATAAATTTTTTAAAAATAAGCCTTTTAGAAGTTGTATAGACAAACCCTGACTGCTTGCCTGCAGAAAGATGAATTGATTTAAATATTAAACACCAGTTGAGGCGATTAATTTTTAATGAAGACAATGAAAAACTGGTTTTTCTTGTATTCCCTAGCACACCCTTTCAAGAGCTTTGCTTTTCCAAATTTGTTTTTTTCCTATGTGTGTGGCACAGGATGTGACTCGGTTCACAGCAGGTAGGTTCATTAGTTGGCATTTCTGGTGTAATATCCAGCTGTGGAAAGCTTATAAATATTGGTATTTAGGTCATCTTAATTAGGCCTTGAAATAAAGATTTAAGATAAAGAGGAATAATTGCACATACTTCATTGCAGCTGAGCTGCTTTAGTGAAAAGAGGGTGCAGTTCCCGGGCAGTATGAACTGATTTCACCTGAGGTGCTGCAAGTCTGCCTCACCAGTGCTCCTGTGATTGTGCGGGTAGCTGAACTGGTTAAAACTGAATGATTTTGGGGAGAGGTGAAAGATGTGGCAGTTTTCAGCCGGTTGGGTGCTGGGCTGGATACCCTTGCTCTTACTGCTACCCATGCCAGCACAGGGAGGGTACTGGGCTGGGACTGCCCCCGTTTATATCACTGCAGGCTTCTGTGTGACCTGTGCTGCTTCATTGCTGGTAATTTGGGAGGGTTTATCAGCTTGCTTCCTTCCTTCCTTCCTTCCTGGATGAATTTATCCGAAGTCATGCTTATGTTCACAATAGTTGGGAAGGGAGCTCAGCTATCAGTGCTCCTCTCCCAAGCTTGGTTGAGGAAAGAGCTTCCCCCTGTTCTTTGTGCAGTCTCACTTGCCGTGTTAGGTCCCTGGAATACTGCAAATTCACTACCGGGGAAAATCAGTGTGAGCTCTTTTGTGCCAAGAGGGGTGGTAGTGATTCCCATCAGCCTGTGTTGCATTTGAGCTTAGCAAGGAAAAACCAGGAGGCAGCATCCCTGGTGCCAAGTTTAGGAAGTTGCAACCAGCAGGGGAAGCCAGAGGAATCTGAAGAGTCAGCAGGCAGCTGGATGACCAGTGTTTAAAGCTGCCCTGCACCTGATGAAGTGCAGTTGGGTGTATTTCTGCCAATCAGTGCATCTGCCTTAATAACAGATGCAAACTTAGGCTCTTAAAACCCATCTCTGTCAAGCCATTGGCAATGTAGTTGAGGGTGGTGCGTAACTTTGGGTAAGGAGGGGCTTGGAGGAGGGTTACAGTGGTGACTGGAATATGCATCTGGTGTTGTACACGTGCCTTATGGCATCTAACAGGCGTCTGGGGGAGATACTGTGTGACTAGTTTGATAAATTTAATACAAAGAAGGTGGCATGGTTGTGCTGTTGTTTATCTCTCTTTGACTAATAACATTGAAACAACACACAACTTTTGGTGTTACAACACCACAAGATGGGAGGGTACCATCAGTTAAGTGTGTTATTAAGCTAATGATATATAAAGAGGTATTAAAAAGCAACAGCTATCATCTGCTACATCAGTGGTGCTGGTAGCTGAAAATTCCAGCTCTTGTTCATGGATTAATGAAGCTGAACATGGACAGGGATCTCCTCATGATCTGAATTTCTCCCTGTAAGAGGATCTCTGTGTCCTCTGACTGTGGATGGAGCTAAGAGAGCACCCATGGGTGCAGGAGACATGTCTGATCTCTTCTTCTTTGTCTATGCCAGCAAGTTCAGCACACCCTGATATGCAGACTGTTTTTTCTTAGCATTTTGAAGGGGTATCATGTCTTGCACCAGATCTTCTAAAATTCTAGTTTAGACAAAGCCTGGGGGGATTTAGGTTTGCATATTTTCCTGAGAGGATTATGCTTCACACGTTTGAGGGGGTTTTTATGATTTTCTAGGTACACAAAAAGCCGCATACACATTCAAACTGTCCTGTAATGTGTTGTCTGGGGGTTAGTGATAGAAATCTTGTGTCTGAATTAGTAGTAAACTGAATCATTGAACTTCAGGGTTATTTTGAACAGAAAAACATTTTGGTAATCAGATTTGCAGCATGGCTGCAGGAATGGTTGTAACAGCACAACTGGAGGGGATAGCAAATTGCAAGAAGGATTAGAAACTGCTTACACTAGCATCAGAGAAAACAATTTGCTGTGAAAATACAGCCCTACAGCCCAGGAATAAATTAGTGAGCACCCTTCCAGGCACGGGATTGCTCATAATGCATTAAGATTCTGGAAAGTCCTTACTTGCAGATCAAAGGAGAAAGGCAGCTAGGTGGGAATGATCGTAAGGTAATTGGAGAAAAAATAGTGGCAGTCTATGAGGACTTTTATCATTCAAGTTCATACTCATAAAATCAGCGGCAAAGTACTGTACGCCTCCGCAGTGGCCCCTAGGAGCAATGGGTGCTGACACTCCGTGTGCTAGCCAGATGCTCAGCACGGCGCCTTGGCTCCCCTGGCTGTCACAGCTGCTTAACACCCACCGAGGGAGGCATATTGATGATTGGCAGCTTAATTTTTCATTGTGTGCCTGCAGGTGGGCTGCATCTTAAACTTTTTTTTTTCTTGTATTTACAGTGTTTTTTGGAGGGCTGGGTGCAGCTCCTCATTTTGTGCTGCCATTGGGGTGTTTGGAGGTTGTGCAGCAGCAATTGCTGCTAAAACCAAACCTGTACTGGGACTTCTTCACTGCCTGCCAGAACAGTCAGAAAACCTGAAATGCTAGGATTTCCCCTTGCTTCATTTCACTGAAGGTGGAGGAGGGATCTGACAGCCATAGAAAACTGGTTTAAAACAGGACTAAACTCAACTGTGCTGCTCAGAGGGATGGTCAGACCTCCCTTTTAAACTGCTGCTTGTGCCTAGTGCTGCCGGCTCCGTTGTCTTTCATCTCTCTTCAGTCAGTCCTCACAGGAGTGGTAAGATGGACATCACTGAGAAACAAGTGGCATTTATTTGGTAAAAAGGGCAAGGGGAAAAAAGAGTTGTTCCCACTGGCAGTGTGAATCACAGGCAGTCTCTGTAGATCTACATCTGCATTATTTTATCAAAGAGCTGTACTTGTAGCATTGCAAGCTATACCACAGCAAATATGGGACTGGTGTTAGGTGGGTGTTAAACCCTGGATGGAAGGAAAACCTGAAAGCACAAACTGAGGAGGAGCTGTTGGGCAGTTTCACCTTCTGTTTTGCTATAGAAGCTTGTATGGAGTAAGTTAGCTTTTGGTTGGGATCAAATTGATTTAGTAAAATAAGCAGAACCGAACAAAATTGATTTGTATCCAAAGGTATGGCTCAGCTAGTGAACTGCAGTTTGTGAGCTTTACTAAATAACAACTCTCAGGACTTTCTTATGCCCTCTAATCCATGGTGATGTTTTGTGTTCTGTTTTCTCTGCAGACGTCGGCTGATCTCCCAGCGATCTTCTCTGGAGACTCTGGAGGACATTGAGGAAAATGCCCCACTGCGGAGGTCATTTTATTTACTCTCTCTCTGGTTACTTGTCCATAAGGCACATGCACAGACAGACTTGCTGTCCCTGCACATGTTGGAAAGTAGCTGGGTGTTCATGTTAAGATGTTCTTCGTAATAGGTAAAGGTACTGAAGCCTCATGCACCCTGCAAGATGGTAGATGACATAAATTACAAGTTCCCTGGCTTTAGGTTATTAAATAAAAAGTCAGTATTTAAATAAAATGTCAGGAAATAAAAAGAAAGATTGGATTTAAAGGAGAAGTTTACTTGTCAGTAACAGGACTGACTAGCCCCTAATGTAGCACCTTTAAAAAGGAAGTACAGCTGGTTTAATAAAGTAAGCTTTTGAAGGTTAGTATTTTTAGTATTCTTATTTTTATGATTTGTTCTCTTAGCACGCACAATCTTATTTCAGTAACCAGTGCTACTGTCTTTGTGTGTTGGCTGGTAGGTTTGTGACTGCTAACTGACTAATAAATCTGCCCCATCCTTTCTATACCAGTAGCTTCAGTGAGGTTCAACATCCAGAAGACCACAGCTTCTCTGGGGACCACAGTAATTAGTCACTAGGCAGTCCTCTGGGGTGGTGGTAAGTGGAGCAGCTGCTTAACGATTCAGAAGCAGGCTAATCAGTAACCTGAGCAGTGCATGGTATGCTTCCAGGGCAGCTGTTCAGCAAGGCAGCAGACTAATTTTTAATGTCTCGTTATCTTAGGACCTGTAATTCAGTTAGTTTATGTTGGTGTTTAGCCTGTAGCCTTGTTTTAGCCACAGATTGGCTGTCTCTCCCCACCTCGAAGCAAAGCCTTAATAGCAGAGGCTGTACCAACTGGCCTATTACCAAGGCTTGATTACTTTTACCAAGCTAACTGTTGAACACTTACCAGCATGTTATGAAGCTTTCTCATAAGTATAATTGGCAAAAGATATAAACAAAGTATGGTTTGCGAGGCAGTATTTTTACTTGCTAATTTGCAGAGTTATTGGTAGAATGTCTCTCTTGGTGGTATTTTCCCGTGAGGAAGCTAACAAGGCTAATTGCAACCAGAGAGTGAGAGTATCTCGAGGATTTTACTAACAGGAGCAGGCAGACATGGCAAAGTGATGGGGTCCCCGCCTCTGGGGTGTGCCCAGGCAGAGTTTGGGTACAGCAACGGCGACTGGCAGTCCCTAGTGGCTTGGGACTGGTGGTTTGTAGTTTCAGTCTGAAAAAAGGACCTCTCGGGGTTGGGAGGCTGCTGAACTTTGCCTATGCATAGGAGAGGATGGGAAAAATAGGTTAGGGAGGCTCAATGCAGAGGGACTGTGCTGGTCCCATGTGCTGTGGGAGGATGCTTGTCCCTTAGCTCCCACAGAGGATGCAGCAGCTGTGGTCCAGCAGCCCTGGCCGCGCGGCGAGCGCAGGAGTTCTCTCCAGTGCCTGCGCATCGTGCCGTGACTTGCAACAAGACAGCACTGAGATGAAACAGAGAAAGCTTTCACATGTGGTGTGGTTACAGCTGGTTAAAAAGAGCAAGGCTGGAAGTTGGGAGGGATATTGCTGTTTGTCTGTCTCGTCTCTCCTCCCTCTGGCAATTTCTTTCTCTCTCTGCAATTTAAAGAGCACATTTAGAAGTAAAATTGATTTAGGGATTTCTGTTTTGAAGAATTATGTTTTTTTTCCTGGAGTAATTTATTTTCAGTTGTTTTATATGCTGTCAGGAACATGAAAAGTAATATTTAGCATTAAAAGCAAATAGGAATTATCCTTGCAAATTAGATATTTTAAGTCTTTCTAAAATTAAAGCAAGGAAGAACTTTGCTCAGTAGCTCCATTATCAATAGCTAAGGAGGATACAAAAATGTGGGTGTTGGTGGGAGGGGGAAAATCACGTGTTTACCAGGTTTTGTTTTAGTTTAATTTTTTTCTTTCCTCTGAAAGCTTGGGCTAAGCTGTCATGGCAGATTACAGGAAGTTTTATTTTGCTGAGATTTTTTTTATTATGTGTTTTTTTACATGAAGGGAGGGGTGGTGGTGCCTTTTCTTATTATTATTTTAAATTTCTTTTTTCATTTGAGCTGTCACATTTCCAGACTTATTGTCTTTATTGTTCTTGCTGATTCCTAACATGGGGTGACTTGAATCAGTTGTCTCGTCTTTCCTTCCTGCCTTTGTGTAGACTTCTTGGCCGTACAGCAGGGAACTGAGTACTTTTAGGTTTTTTTTCCCCACCCTCCCACCCCAACTGATTTATTTTTCAGATGTCGGACACTCTCAGGATCACCCAGACCAAAGAACTTTAAGAAGGTTCATTTTATCAAGAACATGCGGCAACACGATACGAGGAACGGCAGGGGCTAAAAAACTTCTGCAAAGGCAATCCATGGAGTGGGGGGGAAAGGGCAGGGTCAGCATCCCCGTGCAAGGGCGCAGCGTGCCATTGCCGCTTACCACGCACCGCATACATAGTCATGGCCTTTAAAATAGTCTGTGAAGGTCCAGGCTGTGATGCACGCTCCTTCCTTGGGTGAGGTACGAGTCAATGGAAGTGCTAGCCTATGGATTTTTAAGACCTGTGTCTCCATAAAACAAATAACGTCCATAAAATGAAAATCAGTCTGAGTAAACAAGGTATAACTGGTTGCATTTCTTCAAGGGTAGTGCCGGGTGCTAAGGGGGCACATAGCTGAATCTGCCTGGAACAAGTTTAGCGATGGCTGAAGTACATCTCAGCATCATCAGTGAGTGTAAGGGGAGGTGTCAAGCTAGCTGAGTTGTCAGGACTGCCTGTGGCAGGAGGCTTACTGGACAAGTGACTGAAGAAAACAGCTTCAGGGAAAGGTATTAAGATTATCCTGAGTCTTACAAGGTAATTAAAAACGTGACAGATCCCGATTGCACTGTTGTGTCCTCCCGATGTGAAGTGCTGGTTGTTGGTAAATGCACACCTGAGGATGGTTGTGGCAAGGTGAGGAGCAGGATCCTTGTTTTGAGGGCAGATGCAGGCAGAGGGGCTCCCAGGGAATGTGTGAGGAGTGCAGCTGTGGCCCCAGCACACCCCGAGCTGGTGCGTGCACTGTCTGGATTGCAGCCATAGGCACCGGTGGGACCTATACAGCAATGGTCGACCAGAACTTCCCTTACTGCAAAGGCATGATGCCTGTTTTGGTGTTCCCATCAGCAAAATAGGTTCTTTATTGCAGTATCATCCATCTCAGAAGTGAAACTAGCTCCTCTCTGCTTCTGAAGAAGACACTTGCCTTCTGTTTTTTTCCCCAAGACAATTTCCCCATGTGCCTCATTATTTTTTTTCTTGTCCTTCCAAACCTCAATAGGTTTGAAATAGGCTACCTGAACAGGTTGCATAGGCTAAACGGTCCCACTGAGAGTTGACCCTTGCATGTATCTGTTCTCATACTGCTGCTGGGGATGAGAACCACTTACATTCCTGTGGACCAATTTGTGCACGTAGCCTGTGGTTTCCATCAAGCGTGGAACCAGGTCAATAGAAATTCTGACATTACGTTGAACCACAGGTTTTATTAATTGAATTGTAGGTAGGTATTACTTGACTTGAGCAAAATTTTCCTTGCATTTACTCTCACCTGTACAATTAAATGCAGTGAATGGAAGTAATCAACGTAAATATTGCAAAAGGTAGCTCTGAGAGACGACAGGTTTTTAGAAACCGCTTTTGTAGCAAACAAATGCATGCAGAACTGTTGACTTGACTATTGTCTGACTAGCAGCTGATTATTGTCTTTGCAACAAGTACATGTGGAATCAAATGCTGAAAAGCAGCCCTCTAATTTTAGTCTGTTTTGTGCATAAATAGATGTATGCTCTGGGAATTTCTTACAGCAAAAAATACTTATTCATAAGGTAATATGCAAATTCCACAGAGAACTAGTAGCTTCTGAGATGTGTATATAAAATACATGCATAAACTTGATAGAAATATTACCTGCAGAAAAATGTATAAATAATTGATTTGTAAATTCTTTTCTCCACCCTTTGCAAAAAAGTATTTGTAGGATATAGGCAGCATTTTATCTTAATTGATAGATGAGTCATTATATCTGATAATATAACTGAGTGTTTTTCTTGCTACGAAAACTGTAAGCTTCTTTCATTCGACTGGCTTCTTATATTTATCAGCAGACACGGTTTTCTAGAATATTTCCATAATCATAATAAAGATCCCTTTATCTAGAACACAGATACAAGAAGAATACGATACACAGTTTTGGAAATGCTTTTCATCCTACAGATGAAGAGCCACAGCCAACACTTTGTGTCACCTATAAGGCCAGCTAAGTCTAGCAGTAAGTAATCTGAGCACGTACCCTGGTTTTCCGAGAGGTGTGGATGCTGTTGCAGTCACTGAAGTTAATAGGCATTCTGGACCTGACCTCAGGAAAGTCAGGTGGATCTGTTTTCTTTGTTCATCCTGAAATAACAGAGTTTCTGAGTACCTTAAGACCTTTAAAGTAGGTGTCCTCCCTGGTTCCCTGTGACGCAGTGAAGCACAGGTATTGCAATGGCTAGAAAACCCTCCCAGGGCTCCTTCCCGTGCCTGGGACCTTGTCCCAGGCGGCTCGTGCATGGTTGTGCAGCACACAGGTGCTGAGCTGGGCTGGAGATGAGCTCTGAGCAATCTCTGAAACCCCTGAGCCTTCTGTCATGGCATGTCAGCCTTTCACTTGAGGAATCCAGCTTTGAAAACATCTACACAGAATATATTTTTGAGTGGTGAATTTGATGGCTGGGCTTTAAAATAACTAGCGCTTTCAGTAATTGTTTCACTGGCTCCTGCTGTGAGTGTCACGGCAAAGAAAGCTGCAGCATGGATGATAGCTTGGGGCTCGTTTCTCTGGTTAACTGCCCTTACTTGTGGCTCTCAACCTGTGAAGTGTCCTTGTCCTGTGGCGCTGAGAGCTCTTCCCCTTCAGCCCCAAGGATGACACATGCTGAGCGACAGTGCTCTGGATCCGGCCTTCGGCAGTCCAGCAGCAAGGCAGGGCTGTCTGTGGTTAAAATAAGAGTTCAGCAATTTCAGCACTGAGAAAAACCACCCATACACAGGCCGCAGCTCATCAGCCTGTCCTTGTAAAGCTTCCTGTTGATGGTTCTGTGCACTGGTTAAACCAGTTTCTTCAGATTTGTAGGACATGGCTTAGTCAAGGATCTGGAAAATTGGGTTTCCTGGACTGTATTATCAAAGCAGTCTTATAAAGTAGCACAAAATAAATTATCCCATTAAAAACAGACAAGCCAACCCTGACATACAAATTAGCATGGGTAGCTACCAGTGTGTGGTTTCACCAACTTTACTTAGCAAGTTTATTGGTGGTATCTTCCATAAACTGTGAAACAAAAGATTTCCTATGTAGCAGGAGCAGACCTCTAAAACAGCAACCTGAGCCAGATGAACAAGCAATTTCATAGTATGAATGGGACCAGAATGTAGCAGTGTTGTGGTTTTGAACCCTGGCTAGCATCCAAACAGCCCACAGCCACTCGCTCACCTTCCCCCATCAAGGATGGGCGAGAGAATTAAAGGGGTAAGTGGAAAAAGAGACTTGTGGGTTGAGATAAGAAAAATTTAATAACTAAACTACAATAAAATTGAAAATAATAATGATAATAGTTATATATACAAGTATACAGATGAGCAATAAACAGTGCAGCTGCTCACCAGCTGGTGACGAAGGCTCAGCCCATTCCCAGCTAACGATCCTGGAGCAGGGAGAGTCCCAAAACCACAATCCCAGAAAAGAGATAAGAGACCGAGGCAGCCCTGAGAGAGGGGCAACCCAGAGAGAGGGTGAACTTCCAGACAGAGCCTCATCTATATGCTGGGCATAATGTGCATGATATGGAATATGTCATTGACCAATTTGGGTGTCAATCCTAAACCTAGGGTCGAATCCTAGGCTAATAGTTGGGGCTGTTCTCCCTCCCAGCTTCTTCTGCACCTGCACACACTGGTGCAGCAGAGAAGCTGAAAAGTCCGTGACTGTCCTGGCAGCAGCAATAAACATCAGTATGCTACCAGCCTCCTTCTCAGCACAATTCCAAAACATAGCCTTTCACTAGCTAGTCTGAAGAAAGTTAGCTCTGTCCCAGCTGAAACCAAGACACACAGATATAAAAGCAGTAAAACAATGCTCCTCTCCCACCCCATTCCATTGCTTTCTCAATTTTTCTTTTAGTATACAGATCTAAGCCAAGGCCAAACACCACCCATAGGTGATGAAAGGTTTCTTGCTGCCCATTTAATTGTGGAAATGCACACACATGCACTCCAGGAGGTTGACTATTCACAGCATCTCCTCAGCCATCTTCCAGCAGCCCCAACTTGAGCTTTGGAGGCTCAAAATCATGGCTGCTACTCAGACAGCATCCATGGTTTCTGTATTCACCTTTGCATGCAGGGCAGCGAAGCCCTGGTAGTCAACATCATCAGTCAGGTATGAGGAAAGAGGCTCCAGTATGTACATACCATGTATCATATGGTACAGATGATGTATATCACATTGCCTGATCACAGCCTTGTGGTGCAACACAATCAAACCTAGATAGACGCTGAAGAAAACAAACAATATTCTTCTTCGAGTCAAGCAAATTACTGATTCTGATGAGAGCCTGGTGCTCAGTAGGTTTTTGTAGTTTCATAGCATACACCTCATTAAAGAAATTGGAAGATTAGCTTCAGACAGTTGCACATTGTAAGAGCTCTATTGCAAAATAATGGTTCCTCGGAACCACAGTAATTAGTACAACTTCTTGATGAAATATGAGAATTAGAGAGTGAAAACCGTTTCATGAAGTAATTTTAAACATGTATAGGTGGCACAGTGGCAATCAGAGCACATAACGCGCTCTGACTTCAAGCTGCTTCTGATGTCAGAGATAGCTCATTCAGAGCTGCACAGGATTTGTTTGAAGAGTTGACATCTAGGGAAATGCTTTTCTCTCATAAACAATAATTAAATTTTCTTGAAGAGCAATGGGCTTCCACCACACCTTCTTCTCTAAAGCATTCTTTGTGACAGGTTCCTGGACTTTCAGCTCCAGCAAACCATTGCTGGCTCTCAGAATATTTTTATTTTACATGCATATCGTCAGACCTCTAAGTAAAATGCTGTTTTATTCCTCCGTAGTGAGTTTCCGGCCACTGCCTTCCCTGCTTCTCTTCCAGTCCAGCTCCTAAGGCGGCTGTTTTGCACCAGCTCCCTCCCACAGCTCTGCAGAGCAGGTTTTGTGGCATCCTGGCAGTGGAGGCCGTGGTGGGCTCCTCTCCCACTCTGCTTGGGAGATCTTTATGTAAAGAGGGACCTCCGGTGTGTAGAAAGAGAGGCAATACTTGGGTCCCAAAGGAAAGAAGTCTGAAAAAGCTAGAGGGTTGGCTGGTTCTTTTTATTTCCTTTCTGGTCTGATGCCTTCTGATACACACAGTTTTCTGTGGTAACTTCCCACTGTTGTCTCTGCTTGTGGACGTGGAAGTACCAGTTTGTTTTTCTTTAAGAGTTGGGGTTTTTTTAGGGAGGTGTAAGGCATTGGTGGAAGACCTGTATTTCCAGAAGCAGCCAGGGGGAGTGGAGGGAGTACTCTTAGTGGGTACTGTGGTTTTCCGAATTCAAAGATGCTTTCTGATGTCAGCCTCGAAATCTATGCCAAGTTTCATACATCAGCAAACAAGGCTTCCAGTGAACAAGCAAGCTGTTGTGAGTAGCAGCCATTCAGCAATAAGCAGTGTCAAGCACAAAATTCATCATATGCCAGGGGTTTTTTGCCTGTGGACTGCCTTTCCCAAATGTGAAAAATTATTCCACCCTGCTTTATAACTTGGGTGGTGCACCATGAGACCATCTTATAGGATCTGAGATATTTACTGTAGGTAAGGGGTGTTAAGGCATTCAGATAATGAGATCATACTTTCTCTGCTGCAGGAGAACTTCCTAATGCTGTATGCGTGTTTATTATTAGAAACACTCCTTGATTAAAGGGTAAATACCACTTTGCTGTTAAACATGCTTTTAAGGAAGAAAATAGGATAGCTATAACAGAATGAACCAGGAGAAGGAAAATTGATCGTTCTTCATTTTTCCAAGCATTACATGCAGCAGCTCTCTTGGGGAACTAAACCTTTTCCAAGAATGATGACTAAGCTGGTCCCTTAAGGAAACAGTGTTTTAATAGCAGTGTAACTGCTGTGAGATTTATAGGTGCATATGGTGGGTTTTGAACAGTAAGGAACAAAATAGCTTGCTAGGGTTTGTTGTCTAACTTTGACCAGTGTAAGACAAAGGATTAAAAATCCAGGTGAAATCCTCACACATGGTTCTGTAGCACACATCAGAAAAATCAATGTTGAAGAGCAGAGGAAGCAAGCGCAATAGCCCTGACAGCCAGCCTAGCATTTTGACCACAAATGGAGATTTTTAGAAAGGTAATAAATCAGTAAATACCAACACAAATCAGATTAGAAGATGGCACAAATTGCCATCACTGTGTCTTGGAGGAATTTGAGGGATGCTGCCTGTTGGCCAACTTCAGAGGGAAGAAAGGGTCTTTTCAGTGTCCGTTGTACAATTGTCATTGTCCTGAAGGTAATAAGGAAAGAAGGTATATATTTATAAACAATCAGTTATTTATTGGCATTTTGTATCTTACATCTTGATCAAGCTTCTCTTGGCTTCTTGCCAATCTGCATCTCCCAAAACTATAATCATGTATCTGTTGGCAGTCCATGCGGTTTTATGGAAAGTGGGTCTTCAGGGTGGTTTTGATGTTGCTTAATATGTCAGAGCTTGATGGCTAAAGGCAGTAGTGTAGCTGTAAAACAGCCAGGTTGCTCTAAGGTATTTGATTTAGTGTCACACAGTGGCTTTGCAGATAATGCAGCGATTTGGAGACAGGTTTGAAATACAGGGTGTTTGCAGTAAGAGTGGCCTGGATTCTGAGATAAGGTCTGTGCAGGAAGATAATGTATGCTTTCATGTAGCCAAATCTTGAGCTGCCTGCCTATAAGGTATGAAGGCAAGCCATGCCTACAGGACAAAGGATTCAGCCCTGATAGTTAGTGACTGAGATAGACATGGTGCTGGAGAAGGGGCGAGGAACTGTGGGATGAGTTATGCCCGAGTGGCAATGCAGCATCATAACCAAGAGGGATGGTGTGATTACTGAGAACAGAGGATGGCAGCTTGTCAAGGCTAGACACTGATCTCGAAGGTAAGACTAAAAGATGTGATGTTTATAGCTGCCACCTGTGCAACTGCTGAGGCCAGTGATACTGCCCAGAGACTGAGAAGGGTGATGGGGAAAAAATTGAGAAGACTGAAGGAGGAACCTAGAAAATAGTGAAAGGATCTGAAAGCTTATGATAATAGCAAACTTTGACTTCATCCACGAGTCAGGCTTTTTCAGGAACAGGAAGATGAAAATCGAGGGAGTCCTTTGGTTTAGCAGAGAAGGGTCATGACCAGCAGCTGGAAATTTCTGTCTGATAAATGCAGATTCCAAGTGAGCCACAGAGTTGTGGTGTGCATCACAGGTGGTTGTTGGCATGTATCACCTGGGTTGCTGCTGGATTTGTCTGTTCAGTTTCAGGCATAGTGGTGAGTTGTCAGAACGCCTCCTTGGCTCTCCAAGTGGACTTTCTCTCACTAAGACTTTTAGAAAAAACATCTATCCTGGGTTCCAAGTAAAATGTACTCAATATAGTCCTCCTAGAAAGCCTGTAGAGGGGATGGGACTCCACTACTTTGCTGTGTAATGTATGACATAGGCTTTAGCACTTCTGTAAAGACTCAATAGCACGATACTCTCCCTGTGAGATAAAAAGAGGAGGGAGAAATCAACTGTGATGGAAGGTTTACTGTTATGAATTCCTCAACGGTAACATCTGTTGCTTTGCTTATTGTGTCGGGATTTTTATATTTTAGTCTTTGATTTATTTTTTTTTTTTATATTTTAGAATAGTCCTTATCAGCAGCAGAAGATCCTTCTGTAGCATATTTTCAGTGCTGCCATATCGAGACTGTACCCAAGTGGGGTAGGTATATTTATACATGTACTACATAGTCTTTCTGGGCCTGCATGTAGACCTGATCATGGACAACAGCATGATGGAGACTAATGCTTTTACATATCTGCTCTGACAAGACATAAATGCATTTAGATATATTTTATTTGTGGAACATTGCCAGGTTAAAACTACAGCTCTCAGTCCCCAGTTTATTTATATGTGTTGTGGAATCTTTGATTATTAAGCTGGAGAAAACTGCCCCCTTGAAATCAATGCTCTTGAAAAATGCACTGTTTTTGTTGTTTCTTCTGACTTCACTCATCTTTGACAAAACAAGTATTCTAGACAACACAACTTTCATTTTACAAGCAGTCTTAGCTTTCTCTTTCTCCCACACTAACATGGTATTACTGTGCCTAGATTTCCAGAACTATAGGAAAATAGTTGGGTTTAAACATAATCCCTTTTATTGTACATTTAGCCATTGGTCAGATCATGCAGTCAGTGAAAACAGATTATTTGGCCATAATACCGTACAGGTTCTCAGCTGGTGTAAGCGACATCACTGGAGGTGCCTTGCATCCCTCAGCATGCTGCGACACTAGATCTCTGATAAAAAAGTTTCTTTGGATTGAAGCAGTTCTCCGAAGACTGAGAAAGCTTTTTGCTCTTCCACTGAAGCTGCAGAAGTGGAAGAAACTGGTTTTGGCTAGGAGGTGTTGTCCAGCAGGCTCTGGGGCACGGCTTCCTGGGTGCCTCCAGAGGCACAGCACAAAGCTGGGAAGGGCAGTGCTGGTCGGTGGTGGCTCCATGCCCCTGGGGAGTAAAGCACGGCCACTGCAGCCGCTCACTGGAGAGCTGAGAGTTGCCTGTAGTTAGGGTTGTCTCAGCACTTGCAGGGCACAAAATCTGGGGGAAATACTCAGCTGGTCCACTGAGGTGAAAGAACCACAAATCATCTAGAGTCAAATTCATCCTGTGCAAAAAGGATCAATTTGGCTGGTATTTTTCAGCTAACTATTCAATTCTGGAGAATTATTTGCCACAAGCTGCTCATGCATCAGTAATTCAAAACAAAGGGAGATTATTTTTAATACGCAAAGGAAAGGAGGCACCTTTGTTGGAGAGTTATCTTGCTCTTCTGTCTCTTACAGTAAATTTTTTCCCTTCATTAAACTGGGATGATACATCAGGCAAATTCTTGACAGCTTCGTTCATTCTTCTTGAGTACACTGTCATTCATGTATGGTCATTGCTCTATGGAAATTGCCTCTTTATTGAAAATTTAATATTATTTTTAAATGCTGATGACTGGTTATACCTTCTAAATTAAAGGAGTAACGAGCCCTGCTGCAAATCTAAATATTATTTCAGCATGTAATGTCTTGTTCCATGCTCATGCAGCAAGAAGGCCATGGGTTGAGAAGGTAGCGAGTGCCAGTACAAAACAATACAGCCTTGTTCCCTTTGCTAAAAAGCCAAGATTAAAAAAAAATGCCCTCTGTCTTTCTTCCAGAGCATCAGAGGAAGAGAGAAACAATTTAATAACACCTCCTTCCAGGAACAGCTGGTGCAAGGAACAGATGAGGCAGTGTAGCATAAACTGTAACCATTGTGTTAGGGCTGCACGGTGTTTGCGTACTTCTTTGCACATTTTGGATGTGTAGTAGGAGGGGAGAGAGACACTGGTACCCTTTTGAAGTACTGTAGTGACAGCACCCTTAAGCTTTGCTTTCTGAGTCTCTGGATTGCTTATGTCTGTCCCTGGGTAAGATGTCCTAACTGGTATGTGTTCTGCAAACATTACTAAATAGTTTAGGAAAAGAAACAAAATTGTTTCAGGGAACCTTGCACATCTGTAGTTAGACTGGAGTAAGCCCTGGCAGGAGCAGGAGAGCGGGGTGGCTGTGTGTGCAAGGGGGGCTGCTCCATGGGAGAGCAGCACACGGCGGAGCTGCTGCTACTCGCAGGCACTGTGGCCAGTGAGGAAATCTCTGGGTACAGCTGTGTTTTTGGGAGGCTGCCAGCCCCCTTTATATTATATGCAGCACAGAAGTGCTCTACTGTATTTATGCTGGCAGCTAAACCGCACTAACAGATCCACTTAAAAAAACATCAGAAGTTCCTGCAGACACATCTAAGCTGTGTACTCAGCCAAGGGTGGATGGGGCAGCATCACCCCTTACTGCTGAGGTGCAAGCAGTGTACTCTAGGCTGTGGCCCTTGCCTGCCCACCTTCCATGCTGAGGTCAAGCTACAATAGCCAGAACCCTCCCCAAGCCCCCAAACCGTGTTTTAAAGTGGTTGCACGAATACAAATGGAGATGTAGGGGGTGTGGGGAGGAGAGCTGTGGAAATACATGAGAGGATGAAATTTAAGCTGTCCCCTGGAACATCTTTCCCAAATCTCCCTCCCTGGCAGCGGGGCAGCTGCTGGCTCTCCGGAATGCAGCTGGCAGCAGGCTTTTGAAGGGGAAATACACTCCAGAGCGGCACAGAGGCTGCCAGTGAAGAATGGTAGGTTTGGCTGCCTGTGGTTTCAGAAAGTACATCTGGTGGTACTTGCTGGGGCTGAGAAGGAAGGACACCATATGCCAGGGAAATTACTTTCTCTAGTTTCCTCTGTTACTGTTACACTGAAGAAAAGTGAAAAGTACAAAGCGAAGAGTGAAGTGGTGGGGAGAAAAAAGTAATGAACAGAAGTAATCACTAGAATTTTATGTTGTCAAAATTTTGTCCGTACCTTGTATCTGGTGCTTTAGCTTATAGTGCTTTTGTGCTACAGAGAGGGGGAGGATTAAAACCAAATTGACAGAAGTTTTGCAATGCATTATTTCCTGCTGGAGTCACCAAGAGGCAGGTACTTTTGTGGATCTGGGCCATAAATTCTCCTCTCTAGGTCTGGCTGCATTAAAGATTGCCCACATCTTTGCTGGTGGCATGAAGATGGGCACAGCTTCACCTGTTTCCATGGCCAAGAGTAGGGTAATGGGCAGGAGCGAAGCTTGCTTTTCTTCCCCCATCTACACCACCAGAGCAGCTGGGAGAGCAGACCTAGCCAGGCAAAGCAATGTAAGGAAGGCTATACTGGAAGTCACGTGCTGAAAGAGGTGCTGAGCATCTTGCCTGCTGGCTTCCCTTGGCCCCCAGCATCCTGCAGTGTTACAGCCCAAAGTCATCTGACTGTGCAGGGTGGTGGTACTGCAGGATCGGTTGTGCAGGTGCTACCCTTTTTTTTCAGTCTATTGGAAGTCTTCATGGCTAAAGGGAATTAATGATCTGATTTTTTTTGTGCTGAATGCAGTCTTGCTCACCTATGAAACATGGATGCTGTTACCACAGAGATTTTGCAGTAACATTTACAAACAAAACACATATATGAGGAGAGGAGATGCAGCAGTGACTACTCAACCTTTTTTACCATTGTGGAGGAACACTTGTGCTTTATAAAAATTGTTTCTCCTGTCCTTTCTCACCAGTCACTGGTGTTATACTATGGATCATGTTGAGACTGCAGTATTCTTTAATAATACTTACAAATCTGAAACATCATATATAATGTTATGCTAATACTATTCTTTAAGTTTCTCTTTCTTATTTAAATACAACACTCCAAAAGATGGAAGAGGTACTTTCTGAAGGTTATTGAAACTGGATTTCTGGCTCAGCATCCACTTCATATCTTCCTGGCAGGATATGAGAATTAATCTGTGTCTAGTTCTGCAGACTGGCAGAAAATGGGAGGTAATGACAATTATCAGAGGTGCACCTTGTGCTGCTGTGGCGCACACTGCCTTTGTCAAAGGTTGTCACGGTGGAAGCTCACAGCAAGTGGAGTTGAGCCTTTGTGCTATTCCTTTTCCAGGAGACGGGGAGATGCCTCAGGTCACCAGCAGATAGCTGTCCCACCACAGATGCACTCGGCACATGCAAATACACCCGTGCTGACCTGCTCTAGGCCCTCGCAGGGGATTAGTTTCATGGCAGACCAAAGAGTGGAGCTGTTTGCAGATGGATTAAACAAGACTTGTTGGAGTTACTAATTTGGAGATGGGCTCTAGACAGTTTGAGGTGAATAGGATTTCAGCCCTTTGAGCTAGGGGTGAGCCACAGCAGATATTAGCCATTTAGTTATTAGGCAGGTCATGTTCTAGGTGCTAGGGTCACCGCACATGTCCCCAGAGAGAAACTGTTATGGCCAGGCTCTTCCTTGGAGCCAGCACAGGGAACGTGCCTGCAGGTTTCTGCCCAGCCCATTCCCTAGCACGGGTCTGTGCAAGAGTGCTCTGCGGACCCTCGTGTGACCCCAGCTGGGATGGAGAAGGACCAGGTTCAGCTCTGCCTCCAGGTAGCTACCCTGGAACAGGCAGACTCCCTGGGCAGGGGAAGAAGGGAACCTATTCTCCATTGCTTACCTGCTCCTGGAGCTTCTCTAGGCACCACTTCTCCTTCAACGTCCAGGTAGATGGTACAACTCTGTCAGTCCTGAAGGAAGTTGTTGGAGTCACTCCGTGTGGCCTGCAGGACATGGTGGGCTGCAGAAAGGTTCTGCATGTGTTTGCTGCCAACTGAGAGCAATCCGGTTCTCGTTAGTATTGTAAGATGCCTGAGCATTTTCAAAAACAGCGATGGCGATGTATGTCTGTCACTATTAGAGATATTACAAAGGAGGAAGAAGGTACCTTATTGCCTTTCCCCTCCTGGAAGAGAAGGTAATCCCATTAGTTGTGTTCATAGTTCTGTTGAGTTGTGGTGTTTTTCTTTGGCACACATCATTATGGTTCATAATTTTAAAACACGTTTTTGAAAAGGGACTTTTTAGGCTTGTTTTTGTTAACAGCAAAAACATTCACAGATTGAAATCATACCTATTCTAATGATATTTTATTTTGTGATGTTGTAAGAACCTGTTAAGAGCTTCCAAGTTCTGTGGAGTCCTGCCCAGAAGGTGAATCTGGAGGACCTTGGGGAGGAGGAGAGCTGGCGGTGTTGCATGAATGTGGCACTGCAACATGGCTAGTCTTACCTTCGACATGACCTTACTGGCATTGGGGCTGAAGGTGAAGAGCCACAGGACAGAAGAATCCAGATATCAGATACTGCATGTCCTTATAAAACGGGCCAGTTCACCTCATCTTTTATTCTTCATGGCAGTGAATTCTTTAAGTGGTTAGAAACTTACCTGCAGTAGGCATAGCTGCTGAATATTGCTGTCTTGACGAGAATATAGGTATTTATCTGACTGTTCTCTGCAGTTAAGGGGAATAACACAATATGAGTAATCAAATGGCTTGAAGCCCAGGAAACGGACCATTCTTCTGAAGTAAACAGTAAGTCATTAGATAAAAAGAATGTGTGCTTCTCAGAAATGCTACAAACCAGCTTCATCCAGTTTCTAAAATTAAATCACTGCTGAATTTAACTAAGTGCTGGCCAGAACACTAATGAGTTCAATGATACTGCGAGTAAGAGGTTTTCAGTACCATTGCCCCAAAATAACATGTAGCCACAATGATCAGTGCGTCCATTGGCCAAACATTCCCAATGGCCTTCGTTATCTGAACTCTGAAATCTTTGTTTAAACTGGGTAGGAAAGTGGTATGCAAAATGAGGCAAAAAGAGGCTTTTAGGTGAGGTTGTCTCACACACTGCAACCCTGCCATCAGTTATTGGGCAGGTCAGGTAACAGGCATTGCAGTGAGTATGGAAAACAGCAATATTTACAGGAGAAATGAGAGCATCCAAATTGATGTAAGGGTAGTAGAAATAAGCACACAGCGAAGTGGGATACTCTCATATATGAATTTTATAGGGGCACCATTGCTCATTTTTGTGGGTTACCCTGTTCCCTTAGATTGAAATTAACCAATGAATCCCCAAAAACTAATAGGTTTAGATTTTGAACTTTTACTCTGTTTTGGGCAAAACATCAGGATAAAAGGTGACATGCTGACACCTGAATATGTTTGGAGGGAAAACAAGGATACTGGCCCATTACAGCCATCTTTCCGGGAGTATCTCCACCTCCTCTCCCTGTATATTGCTGCTGGAGTTGTCCTAGTAACACTAATGACAATTAGGATCTCAAAGTTCTCGATCAGTTAAAGCAGGCAGTCTCAGGCAGCGGGAGATCTGCTGCTGGACTGTCTTTTCCAAAGCTGTCATTGTCCTTGTCCCTATAAACAGAGACAATAAGTAGAAATTATTTACAGTGATTAATAAGAACAGTGTCTTTTCTTGATGTCTCATGAACCACCTTTGCTTTTAGAATAAACCTTAACAGCCAGGAATCACTCAGTATAAAATATAAACACAAAAGACTTGCATCTCTAAATAACTATTATCACATTCCTTTTTACAATAAGCAGAAGGCTTTTCCTTGTATCTAGAAATCTATTTAATATTTCATGGATTCCTAAATTATTCACAGGTTAAAGCGTTCAACTGTTGCTGTCATTTAAAGAGCAAGTGCCCAGCAGGAGTCTTGCATGAGGCTTTGTAGATCACATCAAAGCAGAACATTTGATTCATTAAATAAATGTTATACTTCCAAAAGTAATAGTATCCAATTTATATTCTGTTAATCCTGGCCTGACTAACAAAAGACGTGGTGAGATTTCCTGTTTTGATTCTTATTTACCTGCTCAGTAAAACTTGTCACTGTCCCACAACAAATTTGGAATCCCAAGTCAGCTGGTACTGTTCCAAGAAAATCTGTGAGCTCTTATTAGCTGGAGAAATTTTCATTTTTATTCTGCAGTCCTGGATAACTAAAATGATATGCTTAGTTTTGAGTATAGTTTATAACACTGCTCAGCTTTCTGGAAATGGTATGTAGGAACAGAATATTTAGAGCTTGTCACTGATATAAATCAAGGTAACTCTCCAAACTTTGTTGGAAAGTGGGATCTGTTTTTTTGCCTCCTAAGGAAATGTCATCCCTGATCTTCTCATTTCCTTAAGCTTTCCCTGCTCAGGGAAAGGTGAGGTAGCAAAATTAATGCAAAATTATTTATTTTCACTTTTTTGTACCTACTTGGATCCCTTGAAAACTTTGTTGAAAAAGCATTTTTGGAAAATAAAATGGAGGAAAATCAAAACTGAGGAAGAGGAGGAAGTAAGTTTTCTTCGCTTAAAAAGCCTCTTTGGCAAGGACCATCTTGCCTTCTCTGTGTTTTGTAAGCACCTTTTACTCCTGGATATTGGTCTGTGCAGTTCCTCAGTGCCATCAGTAATCTAAATAAACACAGTGAAAGCTTGATTTTTTTTAATATAAAGTGCCTATGCTCCTGCCCCGTGGGCCCCATTGGCCATGGTACCATGCAAGAATACGTGTCCTGAAGAACTTGGTGGCGGTGGCTGGCAGCACTGGTGCGGTGGCTGTACCCAAACAGCCGTCCTGCCTGTTCCCCAGGCATGACTTACCCATTTGCAGAAGGCAAAGCAGAGGCATACCCCAGGTCTTTCTTAGTTGCTCTTGGGATTTTGGGGGTGTAGGGAGGAAGCAGCTGTGCTGGGGCTCCCCCAGCGGGGTGGCAGCCACTGGGCTTACTGTGCCAGCAGGAGCTTTGCTGAGGCATCTGTGAACTTCTTTGTCTGTAATAGGAGGGAGGGAAAAAAGCAAGGCTTGTCGTGCAAAAGCTGGCCTAGCTTGTGATTGTAGTGGTAGGGAACTCCTGAAGGATACAGTAAAGTCACCTAGGAATTTCTTATTAGGTGTTCACTGAGATTACTTCACAGTGAGAGGAAGATATGTGTAAGCTAGGATGAGCCTTTGCATTTATATGTTGATATAAGAAACTGCGCATTGGTTAGTACTGATTTTCCTCAAGAAAGGGAGTTTATTTCTCTGATTTGTGGACAGGTTTCTCTCCAAACAGTAATATTTTATCACTGTTTTACAACACAAGCAATTACATACCACCTAGAAATACAGAGCATGTGTAGAGGAGCAAAAGACTCTTAAGTAGCCCTTGCTACTCAGGGTGAGGGATAGTAACTGCAGTGTTGCTCACAGGATCTAGAAGGTAGTCTGCTTTAGAAACATCAGAAAGATGGGGAAAATGGAGGTGTTAATGTCCATTGATCTTCAGATAACATCCAGGAATCATTCCCATAGGTGCTCCCACTGGCCAGCTGACCTTCTTCCCCGCTCCCAAAGCCCTGATTTCTTTCTGGTCCCCACAGCTGCTCTTTTTTTTTTTTTTTTTTAAGTG